CCCAACTCATGCCTCTCTGATCTCCCAGTTATATTGATGTGGCTGGTGCCAAATTCTGCAAACGTATGCAGGGCATTCATGACACATGTGCCTACAACATGGTTGTATAATTATCTGTATATAGGTCATTCCCATTCTCATACAGCCCATTCACTCAAAAGCTGATAACCCCTGAGTCTGTGTGGTTTCTTAGTTTCTTTAGGTGTGTTACGGGGAAATGTAAAAACTCAGAGACAACATTTAGCAGCCAAGTTTAAGGCCTGTCAGGAAAGAACGGATGTGTCTCGTCTTCCTCCCACGCCTTTGACCTCTGCAGGGCCAATGCAACACGTCAGCTTCCCCTTAAGTGTTTGAATATGGCAGTTTGCTTTCAGTCAATGAGCAAGGAGCTGCACTGTTTTTTATGCTGCCAAAATAGGCACTTCGAAGAGATCACAGGTCCAAGCTCTGTATGCTTTTACTTGTTATGGAATAAAAATGGTTTCTAAATAGGACTTTCATTTTATGTGCATAATGTGGAACTGGATTGAACTTTCAGCAGCTGTACCACATCAATCATTGCCAGCACAAAAAAAAGAAAGATTGCATTCACTGTTGTTTAGAACTAATTTGGTGTTTAGAAGCATAGCTTCATTTCTGTTTGCTTTTCATTATTACATAACACACGTATCAACTGCCTTTGCCAAGAAATTCAATAGCAGCTCTTTAACTGATTGAAAAACCTATTTTTAGGCATCAGTGTTGAAAGCATTGCATTCAATTCAGAACAAATTAAAACAGAATGGGTAAGTGGTGAGCGAAGAGTTCACTGCAATGCACGTTGAACACAGGAAGGGGGGCAAAATGTCAAACTTGCATATCAGGTAAAAAAACGTCACACATCACTAAAAGGGCATTATGTTTCTTGTAAATGACTCTTTGTTGCCTAGAAAAGCACACAACAATATATGAGATGACAACACAACTTCAGGTCAGGTCTTGCTGACTTTACTTTTCATTCTGACTGCATGATAATATGCACTGTTTGGCTTTTCAAATGCACTGTTTCTGTTTTTTTTAACAAGAAACAAATGATATCAATCACATGATTTCCTATCACTCTTATCTTTTATAGCACAAACGAGAATAACGCCTTGATTACACTTCTGTCCACAATCACAAAATTCATAGACATCAGTCCAAAACGTTTGGCTGCTGCAGTCAGCAATTGTGGACGTAGGTTCTTTTCTTTTTTTATACACCAGAAATCCACAAGTTGTAAGAGGTCATCAAGAGATGCTTTTTGAAGCCTTTCACTTTTAAAGAAGAGAGATGTTAATTAGATTGAAATCCTTTCACTTCGTTTATCTTTAATTAATAAATATCAACTTTCCACCAAAGTTTTTTGCTTTAATATTGTGAAAATGTTAAAATAAAATCTAAAAATGTATTAACAACCACAATGTGTTATCAAACGGTGCCACGAATACTGTGAAGGTCAACGAGAGCGCCCCTACAGAGCATTGAAAAACATCCTGTTCCAGATGTACACATCTGTATAGCTGCTTTCTTCAATGGACTCCTGCTATACTGGTGGCAACACGTTAGAAAACAACGTGTTCAACGTAAAGTAATGCATCAAATATGTATGTTGATAAGAATGCTTGAATAATACAAGTTAAATGTAGGTAGTCAGTGGTTGATTTCAAATAACAACATTACATTTCCCCACTTTGCCGAAAACCGTTATACGTGCATATGGCCAACACTGTAAACAAATGTGAATGCTTTATCAAGTTATTGATGTCTTCTGCAAAATCCGAAAAAATCATTATAACTAAGCAACTGACTTCAGGAATGAGATTATAACTTTATTTTAGTGCAACCTAACCTCAACTCCTTGTTTTAAAGTAAGTTGCCTTTTGAAGCAAGGGAGAATGAAGGAAACAAGGAAAACTAACAACACGCTGATTTGAATAAACAACAAATATTATAAACCCATCTTGTTCTGCGTGGATGCTTACCCAGGTGCTTTGCATACATTTCTGCCTTTGGGGTTGAGTTCTTGGCTGAAACTGGAGCAAAAGAACAGACAAACCACCGCAACAACAGCAAAATAGTTCTTCACTTCCATTGTACAAGCAGCAGCATCCTTCTAGACGCCGTTTTTACTCCGCATTTCCCTTCTCCGAAAAGTAATGATGATGGCTTTTCACTGGCTTTTAAACAATCCGAGTAGTTGTAGGCACATAATCCAGATGTATCTGCTGGGTAAACATCAAATCCTTGTCCAAAAAGGTGTTTGGAGAACTCTTGCAGCCACCTACGAACACCCAGAAACTCAGAGGCAAAATAAGTGACCAGCGACAGCAATCCCAACCGAACAGCCGAAGAAAAGTCCGAAAACCGAAACCTGCAAATCACAGTATTCTTGATAAATGCTGTTTTCCGACAGTGCCCCGTTTATTCCACAAAATGTTCTAAAATAGTTCATAATGCATAGCCCGTGAGTCGAGACTCAAAATTATATAAAACAATTTGTTTTCCAAAACAATGTGCTGAAGGAGCGTGGAAACGTTTAGATATGCTGATTGACAAAGAAATGGAGGCGAATCAGCTGCCTTTCGCTTTTTCCTCTCTGAGGAGAAGCGTCTAATCCGTAACTTTTGTCCTCTCTTGCGCTCTCAGGAGTGGCAGGAGGGAAATTCCTGATTTGTTACTCTATCTTTGGCTCGGTGCGCCATGCGTGCGCCACCAAATGTACATAGGCCTGTGTGCAACAGGGTAGCTTTAATGGCCCCGGTTAAAACAATGTAGTGTGGCCCAATTTGTCATCAGAGCAACAAAATGACAGAGTTAAAGCTAAATATGATTTGCATTTAATAACCTACTAAGAACCTCCACTTATTTAAGGTAGTATATAATTGATGGATGGTAAGAGTGTGTGTGCCTTTTGGGGGGTGGAGGGGGCAGCAGTGTATTAACTACGTTAGTCAACAGCTCCCCCATCTGTTAACACCAGTGAAGTGATACATTTGGGCACAAGGCTGTGCTACATTAAACTAAGTGCAAGGTCTCTTAACCCTTAACCACCTGTTTAGCAGGTGAAATATCATATTTTGTCTTCATTACATCTGATTGATAATAACATTGAACCATTGTTCATGAATGCTGACATGCATGGAAAGTGCACAACACAAGGTATCTTGTTTTCTTACAGAAAACATCACATGGGTTCAGGACTTAAAGGTATTAAATACCCTCTACAAAATGTTATAACCCCTGTGTAATTTAATTACTGGAACGACCACATGTCAACATAACCCACTATTAACATTCAAAACAGAAAACAGTCGTGACCAAGATTGTACAGCTTTTATAAGTTAAAATTAATGATGAAAAACGTAGGTCTCCCTTTCATGCATGAATTATGAAAACCTCAGTAACCAAGTGTTTGTATTGCTCTTGGGGCATGAAAAACAAGATTTTAACTTTAGTTTATTTGTATCTAGTCTTTTCAAATTTAGAAAATGTTTTATATGTCCACTCAGGTGGACAGTATGCAGGTTTGAAATGAAGATATGTACATTTGGAAAAAATGATAAATAAAGATGTGCAAACTTAAAATTACATTATAATAACATTAGTATATTGATTTACGGCTCAAAAAGATATTGCAAATTAAGTATTTTCAAGAAGAACAGTAGCAATAACAGTATGAATTGTAGAAATATAGCCAGTGATGCATGACGTCCACTTTAGTGGACAGGTGATTCATCATAATTTCCTGCAAACATAAAATCAATACTTTGACAATTTATGAATTATATGATTCCTTAGTTGTTACTTGATGTCACCAACATTGTTATACCTGCAGGGAGCGCTTTCCAAAAAGGATTGGCAAGATATCAACGAGTGATTCAGTCCATCTGGCTTTCTGTCGTCCATCTTGGTTTAGAGAAATGTATCATGCACTTACACTGACTTTCCACTGAGTGGCAGTGTATGGGATGATGAAATAGGGTCCTATGTAGTGGCTGATGGTGCAACCATGCCATCAAAACCCATGCATATACAAGAAAACACCTTTTGAAAAGCTGTCCACTGTAGTAGCCTCTATGCGTGAAAGGGTTTTAAGTAGTTGATGTGCATTGTAATGCATTAATAAAATGTTGGTTGACACAATAACTTAAATATCTTGAGATAATTATTATTTACCTTGATATTCACGTGCAAGGTAAACTACTCATGTATTGTTTGATTCTGTGGACACCATATAAGTTCAATTTATGTGATTTTGACATTTATGAATATTGTATAAGCCGATCTGGTGAAGTATTGTGTTGGACATCTTTAAGAAAGGCTTCTGAAATGTGTCAAAAATAATCAGATCTGTTTTGTTTCTTTGAGTTTCTAGTAGCAATGTCACAATGAAAATAACACGAGTACATGTAAAATATAAAAGTTTTACAAAAGTAGAAAGTATATTCAGCCTATACTTTACACAGGTAGCCCATTCCTCATACAGCATATGGAACATACATAATATACAGTGTGTTATTATATGTATACTGTAGCCTCCAGTCCAGTGTATGTTCAGTCCAGTCTCTAATTTTAGTGAATGTATTATGATGCCTTATCTCATTTATGTTAGTGATTTATGTACATTCACTCCTGTAACAGCAATTTTCCATCACATCCTAACCATGCACAGAAGTTCGCTGCTGATTTTTTGTTGATGTATCATTCTAGATGATAATTTTCATTTGTTTTACTTCAAGATCTCCTCTGCTCTCCACCCAGCCCTCACCCCATATGTAATATGCTGTTCATAGACTTTAGCTCAGCATTCAACACCATCATCCACCAGAAGCTGGTTTGTAAACTAACAAACCTGGGCCTCAGCCCCGCAGGTATTCTGATTCTGATTCTTTCTCTGCAACTGGCTGCTGGACTTCCTCACTGCCAGACCTCAATCTGTACGGGTCGGCAACAACACATCAGACACAATCACACTGAGTATGGGGGCCCCCCAAGGACGTGTGCTCAGACCCCTGCTCTTCACCCTGCTGACCCACGACTGCACACCCACCTACAGCTCCAACCATGTCGTCAAGTTTGCGGATGACACAACCAATGTGGGTCTCACTAGCAACAACGAAAAGACCCGCCACTGCAGGAAGGAGGTGAACCAGCTGGCCACATGGTACAATGATGACAATCTCTTCCTTAATGTGGAAAAAAAAGGGAGATTGTTGTCGACTTTGGGTGAACCCACACCCAACACCCCCATCCACTGACCATCAATGGTGCTGCTGTGGAGCAGGTGAGCAGAACCACATTCCTGGGGGTGAACATCACTGAGCACCTCTCCTGGAGGAACAACACCACGTCAATCACCAAGAAAGCCCAGCAGCACCTCTACTTCATCCACAAACTGAGGAGAGCAGGTGCCCCCACAACCATTAACAAGGCCCGGCCCCCCCACTGACACTTTACCTCAGCCACAACGCAGACTCTATGCATTACATTAATGCACACAATGTTGACAATATCAGTTTTTTTTACTTCACATTTTTTATATATTATAGGCAAGGCAAGGCAAGGCAAGTTTATTTATATAGCACCTTTCAACACAAGGCAATTCAAAGTGCTTTACAAAAAATGAAAGACATTAAGAAAATGGCATTTAAAATCAGTCATTAAAAAGAAAAGATAATAAAAGAAACATTAAAAGAAAAAATACATGGATAAAAGTTACAGTGCAGTTTAAGATATGAATAGTTCAATTAAAAACAGCGGCAAAAAGAAAAGTCGTGGATTTAAAAGTAGTCAGAGTTGCAGCGGACCTGCAGGTTTCTGGGAGTTTGTTCCAGATATTTGGAGCATAATAACTGAATGCTGCTTCTCCATGTTTAGTTCTGACTCTGGGGACAGAAAGCTGACCAGTCCCTGAAGACCTGAGAGTTCTGGATGGTTCTTAATTTAGCAGGAGGTCAGAAATGTATTTTGGGCCTAAACCATTCAATGCTTTATAAACCAGCAGCAATATTTTGAAATCAATTATTTGACACACAGGAAGCCAGTGTAAAGACTTCAGAACAGGAGTGATGTGATCCACTTTCTTAGTGTTAGTAAGGACTCGAGCAGCAGCGTTCTGAATCAGCTGCAGCTTTCTAATATATTTTTTAGTGAGACCTTGTAAAGACACCATTACAGTAGTCCAGTCTACTGAAGATAAAAGCATGGACAAGTTTTTCCAAATCCTGCTGTGACATTAGTCTTTTAATCCTAGATATATTCTTTAGGTAATAGTAGGCTCATTTAGTAACTGTTTTAATGTGACTGTTGAAACTCAGGTCAGAGTCCATGACTACACCTAGATTTCTGGCTTTATCTGTTGTTTTGAACATTGCAGACTGAAGCTCAGCGCTAACTTTTATACGTTCTGCCTTGGCTCCAAAAACCATTACCTCAGTTTTATCTTTGTTTAATTGGAGAAAGTTCTGACACATCCAGTCATTGATTTGTTCAATGCACTTACTCAGTGTTTGAATTGGAGCATAGACTCCTGGTGAAATTGTTACGTAAATTTGTGTGTCATCCGCATAGCTATGGTAACTTATTTTGTTGTTTTTCATTATCTGAGCCAGTGGTAGCATGTAGATGTTAAAGAGAAGAGGCCCCAAGATGGAGCCTTGAGGTACCCCACATGTCATATTTGTCAACTCAGATGTGTATTTACCTATAGAAAAAAAGTTTTTTCTGTCCTTTAAGTAGGATTCAAACCAATTTAGAACTGTTTCCGAAAGTCCCACCCAGTTTTCTAGTCGGTCTAGTAATATGTTGTGGTCAACAGTGTCAAACGCAGCACTGAGATCTAATAATACTAACACTGAAGTTCTGCCACTGTCTGTGTTTAAGTGGATGTCATTGAAGACCTTTGCAAGAGCAGTCTCAGTGCTGTGGTTTGGACGAAATCCTGACTGGAACACATCAAAACAGTTATTTAAATGCAAGAAGTTACTCAACTGTTGAAAAACAACTTTTTCAATGATTTTACCTAGAAATGGCAGGTTTGATATGGGCCTGTAATTGTTCATTACTAGATTATTCTTTTTTAAGAGCGGTTTAATGACTGCAGTTTTCAGGGCCTGTGGAAAAATACCTGAGTGAAGAGATTTGTTTACTATATGAAGTAGATCTGAGGCCATGCAACGAAAAACATCTTTGAAAAATCCGGACGCTCACATTGCCTTTAAATGCCGCCGACACAAACGAATGCCGTGCTTCCATGAGCGTCAAATCCCGCCGCAGATGGGAATACATTGCAATCAGTTGAAAGCTATTTGCATCCCTTTATGAAGCTGAAGGAGCCTAGGAGCGTCCCAACTGCATGCCTCGGGACCCTGACCAAGCGTCGCTCCTGGACGTTTATGGAGTGAGAGTGTGTTGAGTCCATGTTACCTACAGTAACAGGCTTGATCTCAGATACTTGCATTGCTGAAATGTCCATCTGGTAATGTTAATACCAATTGTATTTATATATATTTATCACAAGATACACTTTCCCTCACAAAAGTCATGTATGGGGTTTATTGATTTAATAGACTTGAAGCACTGCAAGGTTATTCCTTCCACACATTTTAGGTCTTCATAGAATAGAAAGACATCTGACATTCTTCAGATGTTTTGTATGGTAGCAATGTCTCATGTTTTGTCCCTGTTTTCGTGTTGCATGCAAAAGTATTTTGCTTGAGGGTAAGAACATGATTTGAATCCTTTGCGTTTGAAAGGTTAATGTCCTACTTTTCTGTAGCCTGTCAGCACCTGTAGCTTTGAAACAGCCTGTCTTTTCTGTGAAAATATGATTCTCATTAACTAATTTGTCACATCGAGAATATATTGGGACTAGTAATCCTACATTTATCATTCACTGGTTATAATTTCCTCTCCTTTTGTGCTCAGATAATGGATCTAGGAAAGATGATCCTGGGCCAGAGAGCCTTTGACCAGTTCATGAAGATGACGTTTTCTGGCAGGGTGTCCGCGGGGTCTTAAAAAGTATTTAAAGTTGATAAATCAATTTAGCGAAAATTAAGGCTATTAAAAAGTATTAAAAAGTATTAAACAGCAAGGTATTAAGAAGGTCCACAGCAACGACAACATGACACACCCTTTAATTTACTGCAACGACATGTCGGGAAACCCCCTCAAGGCGGCCCCATGCATAGCGCACTGTAAAATGCTGCTTCTTATTTTAAAGTGGACCTATCATGCTATATTTGAAACATATATTGTATGGCCATACCTATATAAAACATGTCTGTGAATTTTTTTTTTCAAAATACCAAACAGATCATGCATTTTTGCCATGCCTCATTTCGCTCTATTTGCTCTTTTCCATCCCTGTTTTTGCAAGGGCTGATTCTGCTTTTGTGGCAGACTACAGCGCCACTTACAGGCCTGGCATATGTACTACAGCGTCTCCAGCGCTCTCGAGCGGTCTCTCATTCCCCTGATAGGTGGAGAGTTGCCCATATAGGCGGAGCACCCCTTTTCTGACGTCAGAAAAATTCAAATAATAATCAGCTCCGTTGCAGCCCCGTTTTTAGAGATTTGGGTATGGAGGAAAAGAGAGAGGGTTGTGTTTTCTGACACTTGGTGAGTTCCCTGACACACCGGGGAGACATATTCATGTATAAAAGACGTACAAAAGTGCATTTTGCATGATAGGTCCCCTTTAAGTTTCGTTGCCTTGCTCCGCTCTGTGGGGGGGAGGAAAGAGTGTGTTGGGGCGCCACTGATGGTGATGAAAGCTGGTTCGATGGGCCCCCACAGACTCTAGCATCGCCACTGTCGATGGGGATCAAAGCTGTCCGGTCCCACATGCTAAGTGCTAGCCAGAAAGCCGCAGAGTTTAAATCTCCTTACACACCAAGTTGATTTTCGGCGTCGATAGATGTCGATAGATGTCGGGCCGTCGATGAGCGCCGTGTCGCCCTACTCAGATTGGTGTGTACTGCACCGTCGTGTCTTTTCGGCCCTGCCGACACCTTCCGCCGCCGATTCGACATGTTGAATCGGGAGGCCGATGGCCTCCCCAAAGAAATCACTCTGATTGGCTGTTCAGCTTAGCGAATCAGTGCATGAGAAGCGAAACGGAAGTGAGGGTCCCAAACAAACTATTAAGAAGGCAAATCTGAGATTTCATTTAACTCCAGCTCTCGACACAGGTTCGGGAAAGCCCCATGAGCTTCTCGTTGTAGAGTGAAAATGGAACGCACACGCTATTTGTTGTTTGTTTATATCACGCAGTCTGTTCTTCTTCTCTCGGTGTATCACGCAGTCTGTCTTCCGGTTGTTGCCTCTTTTGAATGACGAATACACACTACCGCCGCCTGCTGGTAAGGAGAGTTAAAAACAGGGCTGGAAAAGAACAAATAGAGCGAAATGAGGCATGGCTAAAATGCATGATCTGTTTGGTATTTTGAAAAAAAAAAATTCACATACATGTTTTATATAGGTATGGCCCTACAATATATGTTTCAAATATAGCATAATAGGTCCACTTTAAGTAATCTAACGGCTTCCTATATGGAGGACAGAAGCTTCCAAAACAACGAATCAATTAGTCACTCAATACATATATTAAAGGTGGGGTAGGTAAGTTTGAGAAACCGGCTCGAGATACACTTTTTGTTATATTCCATGGAATGCTCTTAACATCCCGATAGCAATGAATATCTTAAGTGCTTTGACAAAAAATCCATAAAAAAATGTCATCTGTGGAAGCCGTAATACTGTAAAAAGCACGACCAATCATTTTAGCCGGCCCGGCTAAAATAACTGGATGGCCTACCTGCCTGTCAGCCTTCCATCTGTGCACAAACTTATCTCGTGCCCTCATTGGTCATGTGCGCGTTCGTGTGTGTTGGAGGAGGGGCTCTGTAAGGAAGTGGCAGATTTTCTCCGGTTGTGTATTTTCAAATTCTAGCGATCTCGAGCCGGTTTCTCAAACTTACCTACCCCACCTTTAATAGGCAATTTAGAGTACCAAATGATATTAGGTAGAGTATTAAGTACATTTAAAACATGTAAATAAAAAAGGGATAATAAATAAAGAGGCAAATAAAACAGAAATATCAATTTATATCAGGTCTTACTAAATTATTCTGTCTACATTTATTTTCAACATTTGTTTCCCCTACCATTGTCGCCAACGGAGCCCCGCACCCCCCCTGAAATTCATGGTGTTTTACTTTTCTTTTTTTTAAAAAATATATATATATAGCACCAAATTGCAACTGAAGTAATCTATCTACGGTCACGTTTCACATTGAACATGTGCTCTTTTATTAAATAAACTAAACGCTTTCATTTTCATTTTCAGTTGTGAGTTTAATGTTTTTGAACCTAAGAAACACTGATGCATTAATCAATAACAATA